ATATAATTGAAAAAAATAGGACTCTCATGGTTAAATTTTAATATTTAAATAATCATTAATATAAATAAAATATTCTTTTATTCTTTATTAAAGAAATCACAAAATAAAAAAAATAATAATAAAATTTAACTTATTTATGAAATTTCTAGTTTATAAAAATTAATTTTCAAAATTAGTCATATAATATGTTTCAAAATAATTTCTCCAACTTATATACTAAATTTTAAAATAGCTTACGATTACACATTATTTATTTAATTAAATTAAAATTTAAGTTTTAGAATTAGAATAAGAATAGATTTATAACTATTAGCTCGTTAAGGAGTAAAAAATATATATAAATTATCACCTACGAACTAGAGTGGATTTGACTCTTCTTGGCTTCAACGAATAGAAGCTTCAATGCACCCTTTGCAAAATTTGTGGGTTTTTGAATTGGCTTTAATGAACCAGTTTGACTCCTGCATAGGTTATGACAAAGAAACTACAACTTCCACTTTAGAGGATGTAGTTTAGGCTTCGATAAACAAAAGAAACTACAATGCTCAGCTTCGACGAATGCAAAATGGACCTTTGACGTTGGGCTTTGACAAACAAAAAGGGAAATTGATGCTCGATTTCGACTAATATTAAATGCGCCTTCAATGCTCAATTTTGATGAATGTTAAGAGTAAGCTTTGGCATGGTGAGAGAGGAGGCGACTTTGATTATGAGGTATAATTTGAGTTATACATATATTTATAATTTTCTATTCTTGTATCCCGTTTGTACCCACATCATGTTGAGCTTATATATGATGTGGTGTTGAGGCATATCTCAGGCATATTCAGGCTTGAAAAATATTTAAACATATATTTTTTAGTATCGAACAAGTGTAGGGGCATATCAAACATGTGTCGGTGATTGATACGTGTCTGAAAAGAGTATGAACATTTTTAGAAGGGTTGGTGCTACATAAATGAAAACAAAATTTAGGTTGCAAGTCAGTCAAAAGGACCTAGTTTTTTTTTTTTTTTTTTTTTTTGTATTCAAAGGAATGCTCTATTTTGCGAGTGCATCTTAGAGGTTGAAACCAAAATCTAGTAAAATTGTATGTAATAAAGCTTGTAGTTGGTGAAAAGTAATTAAGTGTTCCCTCTAACTTTTGATGGAGTATGTTGATTCAAGATTCTAAGGTCATAGAGAGTCTTTTAGCGGCGGAGGATTTGGTTGATGACTCATTTACTGGCTTCTTGTGAAACTTCCAACACTTATCATGCGTATGGTAGGGTTTGTGATAGAAATCACATGTGTTTGGGCGTGGCGGAGTGTTTAGTACTATTAAAGACCAAGACTGAAGGTTCAACTGAAGGAGTGGAGGTGCCGAGTATGACAAATCTCCGACTTTCTTCGCGGTGAATCCCTGTGAATGTTGCCCGAGTTGAAGGAAGGGGATCACGGCCAAGAATACGTCCTCAGACTTCATCGAGATCCTTTTTTAGATCGGTCAAGAATTGGAGCACGTGATTCTTTATCACAATTTTTTGGAAGAGAGAGATCTGCAGGAGAGTTTCAAGTGCAGACATAGTAGAAATTACATCCTATCCATAAGGCAAACAAGTCATTGTAGTATTGTGTTACCGTTCTTAATCCATGTTTCGCCTCACAAATCTTTTTAATAATTTTAAGAGTTGGCCAAAATTGCCTACGTCCAAGAAGTATCACGAACGACAGTCCAGAGGTCACTAGCAGACAGAAGAAATAAATACAAACGACCAATCGAGGTCTCCAACCAATTGAGGTCTCCATGAAATTAATCGGCCATGACATGACCATTGAATTCTCCACTCACGCTGTATGCGTCGGGTCGGTCTTCGAAGGTTCACGAATCATATCTGTGAGATGACCGAATTTACCTCGAGCTTTGACGAACAATGACACAACTTGATATCATTGGAGGAAATTAGAGTCTAGAGTTTATGGGTGGTGATCAGGAAGGTCATATGATTTTCAGGTCCTCCGGTCTGCAGAGGGATTGCGGTTGGTGTTGATTCTCCGGTGAAGTACACCGTCAGAAGGAAGCTTGGTGATGGAGTCCGCCATGATTCCAACCGAGCCAAATGTGAGCCGAAAGATAGAAGGATTCTGGCAGCAGGAAAATCGGCTGGGAAGATCACCAACAAAAGGCTCTGTAGGCGGCTGGAAAGTCCTACGGGGAGATAGGCTCTACGGGTGGCATTTCTGAAAGGATAACAAGGATAAGTCGACCAGAAGAAGGTAGGCCTTGCTGGAAGGAGGGTTAGCCGACTGTTGTGGGGGTGCGGGTGGCTTGGCTGCTGAAATCTCCCGCGGGAGGGTTCAGCTGCAGAAGCCTGCAGGGAAATTGCAATGGGAGAACCTGCAGGGAAGTCAACGGCTGAACCTTGCAGGGAAGGGATCGTCGACTGGAGGTCTTGCAAGAAGAAGGGGCTGGTGACTAAAAGAACTACAGGAAGTTTCAGCGGCTAGGGTGCTGTCCAGGCGATAGCTACGGTTAGATTCATAGATTGATACCATGTAGAATTTGGGAATAGAGAGGATAATTTTATTAATATGAAAGTGGATGTATAAATACAAATTACATTACTCCTAACATAGGAAATATATAAAATAGAAAAGACATAAAAATATGAATAGGAAATAAATTAATGCTAAAAACTTCTAACAAGAAGTTCTCACATAAATTCTTGTATTGTAAAATTTCAAAACAAGTTCATTAAGATTTAAGAAAACTATTCCAGGTTGCATTTTTTACTTCAACATTGTAAACATTGATAGCATATCACAGCACAGCAGCTTCTTCAAGATGAAAATATGCGATATGAATGTGGTGGTAGTCTGAAATACTATGAAATTTGAAATTGTTGCATTGATGTACCGATTGTAATCTAATTGAACATTTGAATGTTATAAGAAGCACTAAATTTCTGTGAATTGGAGCATATTTTGCACTTGCAATGGGTACAACTCATTGCCTAATTTATGCTTGAGATCTAGAATAAAGATGCTAACCGGGGCTAACTCGGAATTCATAGCATAATTATGTTTTGAACAAAATTTATGACGTCATTTTGCTTCAAACGACATTATTGATGCTTGAAACTTCAACTAAAGTATTTATCCAGAGAGAAGATAGAAAGACTAAGAAACTTATAGGCTAGTTCTTCAAAGGAATTTTGGGATGCTATTTAACAATTTTTATTTCTTCTTTTTTTTTTTGCAAATCGACATATTAGGACATTCCAAAACGAGTTTATGATGATTGAAGAAAACTTTTCCATGTTAAATTGTTGGCTTTTACGCACACCCATTGATACCGTGTAGCTGGCAACTCCTTCAAAATGTAAAGAAAAAATATAAAGGCAGTGGCAGTCCAGCGTATTATGGAAACCTAAATACTCTTCTCCAATGAAAACCCTGGTTTTGACCTTAGAAGCATTTGAAATATTGAGGTATTTCTACCTTTATAGATTTCATTAATTGAACTATATCAGCTGATGCCTGAGGAACTGATCTTGATTTGTCTGGGCTTATAAGATGCTTTCACCTTCGAAATTGTCCTACAGTATCGATGATGATTTTCTGCATTGAGACAACATTTTGATTGTTTTATCGATATTCATCATTAAAGCTTGAAATTGTCTACAAATCACAGAAAACATACAAATCAAGAAACAACACCTTTGGAATTGATACCAACTCCTTAAAGTGGGAAGAAGAGAATGGAAGAATTATCTAGTATAATCATCACCTTTATATTTTCTTCATATGTCAAGGTTTTTATAGATTTTACAAGGCCGCCCTCAACGTTTATCTTTTCTAACATCTGTATAAATTCATCAAAAAATATCTGTTGAAGTAAACCTTTAACCATCTTGGTCCTTATTTCTCCTCTCGGAATGATGTGGCTCTGTTTTGTCTCTTCCTTCAAGTGTAGCTTGCACATTTGTGTCGCTTGTTACTTAAAGTTTGTCGTTTGTCTAACACTTTGCTCCCTTACTAAAATTTGATCTAATAATTTTGGCTTCTCCGTGACAGAGTGAATTAATTGATATATAGTTATCCTAATATTTATGAGTGAATCCAACAAAAAAGAACCCAAAATGAGACATTGATTTCCAGGTTAAAGACTGCAATGAAGAGGAAAACGCAAGTTTGCATCCATGTCTCATGTTCTAATTTTTTGTTTCCTCATTATGCAAGCTCCTCTGAATGTGCTAAGCTTATTGATTTTTCTTTGAAACAGCATTTTCTTTATACTGAAGCAGTCCATCCATAATCTTTTTGAGTAGCTTAGAATTCCTCTTCATTGGATTAGGCTTATCCCAACATATACTTCACACCACCATGAACCATCATAATTGTTAATACTAAATATTTCGTAAATCTCGTTGCGTGCTAAGATAATTCAGCCATCGATAGGCTGCCTTTGAGATTTATTAGTGTTCTTCGCTAGGCTGTCTGTCATATATGTGGTCTATAAACTGAATACTGGTAGGCTTTGACAACCTGTGCTCTGCAACAACTTTTGCCCACTTCTTTTCCATGACATATTCAAAAGAAATCTTTGCGCCTATAGCTCTTGTGGATTCTATCAATGCTTCCCAACTATCTTTAATTAAAGGAGCATTTACATGCATACCACCCAGTTCTTATGTATTTACATATCAAACTTCTAAACTTTAATTTTTTACATTTATATCACCCAAATCATTCATTTCACATTAAAAATATCACTATTTTAACTTGTAAAATGTTAAATACACCTTTTTATGCATAGGTAAAGCAGCATTTATGTAAAAATTGATTAGGTGTTGGATATGGAAATACACAAGAATTCATTGGTATGCATGTAAATATTCATTAATTAATTTAATTCACAAATATTTATAGGAAAGGCTATTCTGTTAAATTTACGATGAATTTATTTGATGACTCGGAACTTTTCTACTAAATCTTATTCTTATTTTCAAACGTTGTAGCTGATAACTCAGTTTCTGGAGAAGAATCTGCTAATGACTATATTCCAAAACAAGGATCAGAATGGGTGGATCTTTTTGTGAAAGAGATGATGAATGCATCCGACATGGGTGATGCGAGGACTCGTACTTCCCGAGCTCTAGAAGCCCTAGAGAAATCTATTGTCAAACGGGTTAATGTTGAAGCCACGCAAAACCTGAATAAGGTACTTTACTTTTCTTGATGGAAGTAGTTAAGGGTGTGCAAACGACTTATTGGATGAATCGGTTTACAAATTATTCAAGTCGAATAAAACCAAAATTTATTATCCAAAAAATCAAACTATTTAAATATTTGCTAAAACTGATCCAATCCGAGCCGAAATATTATTTGGTTTAATCCAAAACCGAAATATTATTTGGTTTAATCCATTTGTTTTGGAGCAGATCGAATTTTAATATTTATATCTATTTTAAACCTAAATAATTAAAACTGAAAGTTTTATTTCAAAATCTAAATTTTATTTCACCTTTTTCTCTCCCCCTCTACCTCAAACTAAACTAAAACAAATGTCATATGCTGACTTTATTGTTTTTTCCAAATGAATTTAATTATCTAATCCTAATGTTTTTTGTTCTTTCTGTTTCTTTACTTCAATGAATATTAAAATCCAATATGAAAACCGGAAAATGTATACTTATATTTTTAAAACAAAAATCCGAATCATTATTTTAAAACTGTACTGAATCAAGGTGCACACCCCTTGAACTTGAAGAGGTTAACCTTCTTCTCTCTCATTGCCCCATTTCTAAGATTGTAACAAAATTACCATTTTGTTTGAGATAGGAAAGCATGGTTCTGAAAGAACAGATTGAAACACTCCTCCGTGAAAACACAATTCTGAAATCTGCAGTGGCCATTCAGCACGAGCGTCAGAAGGACTTCGAGGTGAAGACTCAGGAGCTACATCAGCTTAAGCAGCTCGCTTCCCAGTACCAGGAGCAGTTAAGCAAGCTGGAGGTATGTAAAATTTTCCTGAATAATACATGAAATAGTTTTTCTGCAAATAAAAAATTTTAGCTTATTTTCTTGTCTGGCAGGTTAACAATTATGCACTGGCGATGCATCTGAAGCAAGCTCAACAGGGTTATTCAATCCCAGGAAGATTTCATCCTGACATCTTTTAGCTCTCTGATGAATTGCCCGAAACATCTTGTGTATATTCTGCTGATTTGTTTCTTATTTTGAAACTTTGATTTGAGGTAATACCAACTTTTGACCGAACCGGTTTGTTGGTTTGTTTTATTTCTGTTTCATGTGCGCATTTTCTTATTTCTAATGATTGTAAATTCACAATATTATCGTCACTTTATGATGTGATTTTTACTTGATTTTCTGGTAAGTTGTAGCAATTTCTGGAATGTTTTGTAAGCGGTAGCAGATTTTGACATTTTCTGGAACTTAGGACCTACGCTGCTTGCTCGTATTGTGAGAACAGGAATGACTTGTGGTTAAGCTCATCAAGAACAGCCATATATAAAAAGCGAGCTCTTTAAACAAATTTATTTTTAAAAATATTTTAATTTTATATATATATATTAAAAAATAAATATGCTTTTGAAAATATTCTGAAATAATTTTTAGGTGTTTTAAGTATTAAAAAAAACTTGCTTTAATTAATTAGTCAATCATGCCTTGTCTCAAATTAAAATATAAGCAAAATAAAATAATGATAAATTTTAGAAAATAAGTGGTCCCAAGGGGTGTAACTTACCTATAATTCCCCAAGAGAAAAATTTGCGGACGTATGCAAAGCTACGTACGTCGGAGGTTATACAGAGGGTATTGGCTGAATCACCTCTGACGTACGCAGCTTTACGTACGTCTTACGTACGCAAAATTTTGTCCCAAATATAATCTGGAGGCATTACAAAAGTATCACATGATTATTATGTATTTATATATCAAGCACATAAATATTCATATTTAGGCGCATGCCAATTGAAGTCTTTAACATTACACTAAAAATAATATCATTACTATTTTTTAAAGTGAAATGCACATTTTCATGCATAGGCTTATCACACCAAGTTGTAATAAATGTAAATACGAAAGTTTGGGTTTTAAATATGTAAATAAATAATAATTATGTTGGGTGCATCTTTTGCAATTTAGTTTTATTAGAATCGTGAAGAACAGCCTTAAATTGCAACCTTTCACCATTTTTTTTCAGGAGGAGCAGCATTGTATGAAATAAGAAGTAACTTCTTAAGAAAGTCTCCATAAAATAGGAATTTAGACATGATAGTTTTCTTAAAGACACATTTAGGTAAAAACATAGTTCAAAGCCAGCCATTACTAGGTTGAACATGATCAAATATAGTTCTTTTTTTATTTAATTTTTTTTCTTAATTGAGCTCAAAATATTCATTTAAACTAAAATAGCTTAATGGTGGAATCAAATAAGCACCCTTTAATGTGCCAAACATAAATTATTTATAAATAAAAATCTTTTTTGATAACTCTAGTTAGCGAGCTTATTGCGTGTTAGCGTTGAACTCGTTCGAATTATCATTCGCTCAAAGTCGACTCATGCGCATTACAAAACATATATAAAATTAAAGATTTATTTAATTATTTATTTATTTTGAGACAATAATGAGTAGAGAATGAGCGAACATACTGCTTATTTTCGTTAGATCTAGTTAAGAAATATGCTTAAAATATATGTTTAATTCAGTTCTGTGATCTTGATGTAAGGGGCATCATCTCCTTCGAAGATCTGTGCTACAGTTTAAGAACTTTAGAAGCTAAATGCACACTTTTTGTTCCTCGCTATGGTAGGGGTATTTAGTTACATATCACCAAACTGTTATGCATTTACATATCCAACACCAAAATTTTACTTTTTTACATTTATCACCCAATTCTTTCATATCACATCAAAAATATCATTATTTTAACTTTGAAAAAGTTAAATATACTTTAATGCATTGGGAGGGTTGTATATATGTAAAAAATGAAGGTTCGGTGTTAAGACATAAATGCATAGGAAGTAAGTCATATGTATGTAAATCTTCCTAAAATATATATGTCCATCATGTTGTTGCTCTCTCTTTTCCCATTGAATCCTTCAATGTAGCCAAAGTCGGGGCTGTCAAAATAAAATTTCGTCGATTATTCGTTTTTGAATGCAATCACGCTTGCTTGGTTGAGTCTGGTGAAGCCATCTCTCCACCAGAATAATAGTGAATCCAAATTTGTTCTGTGAGGCATGCCCAAGGACCAGAGCTATAAAAACCTTTAGAGAGAAGTAGAAAAAGATACAGAGAATTAGAAAGAATAAAAGAACATACACAGACTTGCCCCACAGGAGTGAACTATGGTATTCTCGGGTTATGTGACCCATTTTATATCTTGAAAATGGGGTAACGAGAAAGAAGGGGAGAAAGATCTCCCTACAAGTGATCGGTTTAGAGAGAATAGCCTAAAGTGGCCAAAGCCTAGAGAGGTAAAAAACATTTAATACATGCTATGGTCTCCCAAATTTATAGAAGATAGAGGGACAAAGTTTGAAAATTACATACTTGCTCTTGCTTTAATTGGAGAGTTACAAGGTATTATGTCATTTGTCGTGCCTTTTTGTATTTTTAATTGATTTTGTCATATTTGTTGTTTCTGGATCTTCTGGCTGCCAGGTCCTCGGATCGGTCGATCGAGCTGGTATCGATCTACTATTTTACCTGCTTGTTGGTCGATCTTCGCTTTGGGAAGCCGACCGGCTTAGAGAGTGGTAGCCGGTTGACCTTAGGGTGGTCGGTCGGCTTGTTTGTTTATTGGTGATATTTGAAGATTTTTAAAGGAGTTACTGAGAGAGCCTCACGTTGATAATTTGAGATTGTTGGGGGTATTAGACAATTGTTCAGTCATTGGTGTGAATATCTATTTCTGGTCAGCCAAGCTGGCCCTTTGGTCAGCAAACTGGCCTTTAGTTGATCAGTAGTGCTTCGGTCTGACACCAGCATTGGTCAGCTGGCCATCAATCGGTTGGTGATCTTCAGCCTGTTGGTTTCATGAATACTTGTAGATTCTTGTCAGAGGGATGATTCTCGATTTATCTCTCTTAATATGGATTGTTATATTGTCTTTTGATTCATGCAAATGATTAAGTATACATTTTAAGATCCCCAAATTTCTTTCTTGTTCATAGCAGTAGTTACGATAAGGACAACAAAATTTTTAATGCAATAAATCAAATCTTAATAGTCATAATTTAATGCAATGCTTAGATACCCTGAATGTTTGTGCCCATGACCCTTAAATATAAGGCATAGTAGATGGTTCTCAGTATCTCGAGTCTGTACCTCCTTACATTCGCTCAACTTTTGTGATTTCCTTATGAAGAAATGATTTGATTTGACACTTAAACCTGTCGATCAAACAAATATGTTGGTTGCCCTTGAGTAAAGAAGCAATGTTGACTGGAAGGCAAGGCGAAGAATAAAAAAAGTGGGAGAAGAATATTGTTAAGAAGCAAAAGCCATTTGAGCTAGTAGGGGTTGAGGAGTTGTCAGATTCAATGCGAGAGACTCTCGAGAAGGTTCAACCTAGCATTGGGAAAGAGCTGTGTGCTTTGGAAATTGGTCCATCAATAAAGACTCCTGTTGAGGTTCCCAGTCAACCCGAGATGGCGAGTGCACCTCCGCCAACTGGTGTACCAGGAGTTTGTGGGGGTAATCAGGTCAGAGAGAAAGGAGGGGTTTATGACATTTCATCGTTGGATGTTGGCGGAGCTACTTAGTCCGAGGTGGATTGGATCCTGGGTATATATTTTTATTTCTATTTTTTACTTAGATTTTTTCATTTATTTGTTTATCAAATTTTTTTTCTAGTAGATGGGACATTCATATCAGAGTTTTATCGATTGTTGGTGATAGCTGAAATTCGACTGCGGTGGCTGCTCCTGTGCGCTAAGTGTCGGTCGATATTAGGGAGAATGTGTTCAACTGCTCGGTCTATCCTGTGGACATCCGAGAGAAAGTGGCTGAGAGATTTCAAATGACTTCGAGAACCTTGACCCATTGCATGGATGAGAACAAGTTGCTTGGGTTCGGTAGGAGGAGGATCTCCACGCAGTGTTGGAGGAGATGCAAGGGAGGAAGCCGATCCTCATTGAGAGTGTCGGAACTCTAGGAAGATGCCTTTGTATAGAAGGCTCATTCTTTGGCCAATCGAGTGAACCATTTTAAGCCAGGTGGTCAAATATTGTATAGGAGGTTGGTTAGGAAAGATTTTATTTTGTTTGAGGCGGTCGATGACCAGTTAGTTAAATAATTGTTGTCAGGGTAAGATCCAAGTGTAATTACCTCATTATTAAAATAAATATTTTCTTTTCTTTTTTTTTGTCATAATTTTTGTGTTGATGTAATGTTTTCTCTTGAAATCCTCGTGCGACGTTTCATCTTTCATTGGGTCCCTATAAATTGGAGCTAAGGGATTCATTTGTTCACTTGCTGTCTTTTTTCTGTCAACTTTTGTTGCTCGGTTTTTCTCTTTTAGTTTGACTTTTACATCCTATTTTTTGATGGCTCTGAAGTGAACTCTTTAGACTTTTGATTTAATAGCTGTGGTTGAGTAGTCAATTTTGTCTCTGTCCAATGTAGCTTTTGTTGAGGAGTCCTTTGTCTTCAACTCAATCATTAGGTGCAGAGCCGCTCGCACGAATGAGAGGGCAATCGATAGGTTCAGTGAAGATGTGGCAGTCTAACGAGATCAGTTGCAGTATGGACCGCGACTGTTTTTGTGCCAATAACTTAGGACAAATTTTAATAAATTTGGGGCCATTAAATCACAAATCAAGACAAATTCAATAGTGGCGATAGTGACCTATGTGTTTTTCTATCAAAGGAGGGGAATCCTGTGGTTGACTAACTTGTTCAGCCATATGTTTTCCTTCAAAGTAAAGGTTGATGGATATGTGCAGTTCAGGGAGGTTGATCGATTTCAAGTCTCATGCTTAAAGAATAAGGTGAAGGATTGAAAGTAAAAATTCTTCATTGCCTTGTCTTCTTAGATCTGAGGGCATCAGAACCGTGTCGACCGATGATGCTTTCAAGAGGAAGAAGGGTACAAAATACTCACATGTTGAGGGAGCTGAGATCGATGGGAAGTTGCTCTCATTTCCCTAGTACATAGGATTAATGATTGTGAATATGATTTTATTCTCTGGAATTTTCTGTCGAATGACAATGAATTCGTGGGCCGCCTCGGATGTTGAAGAAGTTAAGAGAGAATCAGAAGTTGCTTTCCAGACGGTTCGGAAGAAGGCCAAAGCTGGGGCTAGGGAAAAAGTCATTCCTGCCCAGGGAATCACGACGACTAAAGGGAGGTCGGTTGAGCCACATGACAAAGTAGTTGGCTTAGTAGGTAAAGAATTTTTTTTTTCTATTTTTGTAACCACAGTGGTGATCCAACGAATTTTAACTAGTGAATTTGCCATCATTGCAAGGAGACATTCAACTCATGCTAATTTTGACATATATCTGTTGGGTTTAGCTCCTTTATGCACTGGTCAATGAGAATTTGGGGAGCTATTCGGTTGCCTAGAAGAGAATGGGGCTGAGGAATCCCATGAGGAAGGGGTGAGAGCGCGGTTGGCTTCACCTTGCCATGATCATTCATTCATTAGATTATCTATCATAAGTGAGGACAATCAACTCGTTTTTACTGTCAAGAGCGATAACATGTCTCAAATTGACCTGAAAGTAATTTCTCCAGAAAAGGTACAACATAGGGAAGGGAACGAGCCAATTATTGAGTCGAATTTTTCATCTCCTCTCTTCTATTGAAAAAAGAGGAAGGGTTCCCTAATTGACTAGGTTTCCTCTAAGAGCTAGGGGACAAAGATATGAAATTCTTCCAATGGTTGGTACACAACCATCGACCAGAAGGTGGATTGGTATAGCATTTAGCCATTGGCTGAAGTTCATGTCCATCTTTATTGAAATGATTTGGTCACACACTATTATTAAGTCTTTCCAGGTGCTTGAGTGACGCGGGTTTTACAAGAAGGCCAATTACCACCATTTGAAAGCGTGAGAGGCTTCCCACTTCAAGTCAACGGTGGTAGTCGGGCCAAGACGAAGTGGGCCGCTGCCTCAAAAAAGGCTGAGACCTTAGTCAGGCTTGCTAAGAAGTACGATAAGCAAGCCATGATATCTGAAAGGAAGTTGGGAGCAACGAAGAAGGTGATTTCCACTCTATATGATCTTCAATCGATCACTTAGCAAGAGAATTAGAAGCTGAAGACACAAATGATGATGATGATGACCAAGGACGAGTTCTTTGAGGCGCTCCCTTCCCACCGATCGCAAAAAGATTTTAGGCGAGCAATTTCTAGTTGACAACATCACACCAATCGACCGACTCATTTAGTTGAGCCTAATCGACCCAAAGATTATGGACTTAGGTGAATGTGCTGCTCTGTATACTGGCTTTAAGCGTTCTTATGAGGACGATTAAGATTAATTTACATTTTCTAATCTTCCAGTTGGCCAGCTGAAATTTATAAAATCTTCTTGGAAAACTTTTGTAAAGATTTTTTGTATAAATTTAATCTTTTGCATAGAAAAAGACATGTATATTTTTTTCAAAATAGAAATAAATGAAGCTTTTTAGTCATTTTTTTCATACATTTGCTTTTATTTACAGTTTTAGTTTTATTGCGTTATTTTCTTGTGATAACTACTTCGTGATGAACATTGGTATTGGTTGATGGCTTAGATCTTGAGAAAAACAGTCGATCATTTTTAGATTTTTCACGACCCAACACAAGTCTTATATTGCCTGTCTCATTTGCTCAGTTGAATTGTTACTCTGGCCAAGTTGCACCTTTTGTCAGAACTTAGACGGATCTTATTGCTGCCTTTGTGGGGTAATTATCAAAATTCATTGTTGGTGTGATTTGCAACATGCTCTTCACGTAGCTTGTCACTACTGAGCAACAAATCGCCTCCAGAGCTTCATTCACATTGAGCTTTGAGATGGGCTTTTTTATGCTTGACGTTGTGAGTCAGATTTGTTGTTAGGATGCCAATCAAACTCTATGACGTTGCTGTGAGTTTCCATTATTATTTTTTATCTACCGGATGCCTACGACATCGCTGTCAGTTTGTTTAATGACATTGTCGTCCGACTCGCATCTTACACTTTTCATAATCTCGATTGCTTTGTCAAATCTAGCCTCACCTTTCGTCATGTCATAGACAAACTTTATCGTTGTTTTTACGATGATAATCTTCGAGACTTACTTCTGTGGTGATTTGCGTTATACCCTTCACGTAGTTTGTCAATACTTGGGAGGGAACCATTTCTAAAGCTTTATCTGATTCATGTTGGTGACCAATATATACGATGCAGGAGCATTTTGGGTTATAGGTTATTCTGTCGATAGAGCCTTTTTAGGTTCACTATCGATATTGCTTCTTAGATTTGAGTTCTCGGAGTTTCAATTGGAACTAAGAAAACAATAAAAAAATTTATTGGTCAGAAGATAATAAGTTTGAAAATAATACTCTCTTTTTTCACTCGGTGAGGTGTCATCCATCTAGAATTGATTGAGCAATACACAAGTACGGTCAGTCGGTTTGTTTAGAACATTGGGAGCCAGCCATCTGTTTTGTGGTGCTCACCTCCTAGCTAAAACCCCTAGGAAGATGATGAGGCCAAGGTCTAGAGATGCAAAGAGCCATTAATACATGCTAGGGACGGACTCTAAAATTTACATACTTGTCCCTACTTTAACAGGAGTGTTATATGATATTTTTATCTTTTATTGTGCCTTTTCGCCATAATTCTACAAGGAATAAAAAAAAAGAAAGATGAACTTAGCTCAATCTCCGAGATTGAGAATTTTGTAGAAACAACTGTGACATGATAATACACTTCTACAAGGGAAAAGGAATATATATATATATATA